CCCATCCTGGGCATTGACCCGGTTGAAGATTCTGTTCCTTGCGAAGGATGCAAGTCAGCGACAGCGTTGCATTGTGACTATTTGTGGGCGGCAGTAACCAAGCCCTAGGAGCCTTGGTGGCAGGTGATTAAAACACTCCTCTGTTACCTGGAAAGCTGGCGGTTGGAACTAGCAGCCTCAACCCACCTGCCACGCTGAGGGAGAAAGATGTGGCAGTCGGTTGCTGTCCGGATTTTCAGCCTGGGAAACGCCAGGGAGTGCCCAGGAGGGTCACTGTGAGTCAGAGCCGACTGGAGGGCAGTGGGTTTGGTTGGGTTTTGGTTAAGGAGATCTGGCTTTGTTTTTATTCTTTATTTTTAGCTGTGCTTTGAATAAGTCTTGGCATGTGCTTATTCTGAGAACCTGCCGTCGTGTTTCCTAGGTGATGGGACTCTCAAGCTTGGTCAAATGGGGAGGCGCCAATATCCATGAACCTGAACACTGATGAATAATTGCCTTGCATACTTGATCAGAACATCTAGGGGGACTTCAGGCTTAGGGCAAGTTTCAGGATTTGGTGGGACTGAGACTGCCAAGAGGGTGAAAGGTTAGAGGTGTTAACCTAAATGCAAGGAGCTGCTCACGCCCTGGGCTGCTTTTTAAAAATGAGTGTCCAGTGTCAGAGTGAGGAGGAATGAGATCCAGTGTTCCAGGTGCGAAACGTGCACCAGGTCACTGTGAGCTGGAGCAGACAGCAGGGCACCTGACAGCTGACAGTCACCCTAATGTGAATGGGGAGGGTAGCAGGAAAGAGTGTGGGTGGAGAATGGACTAACCTGTGGATAGGAGTGAGAAGAGGATGGCGTTTATCTTTGTAAAAGATAGGACCCCAGATGCTACATCCTTTGATAGCCGGGCACCATCAGCTTTCTTCGCCACATTTGCTTATGCACCCATTTGTCTTCAGTGATCCGTTCGACAACTTGTGATCACACAGGCTGCTATGTTGTTCCATGTGGGCTTTGTGGCTTCTGAGCTAGATGGCCACTTGTTTACCTTCAAGCTTTTAAGACCCCAGATGCTATCTATATCTTTTGATAGCCGGGCACCATCAGCTTTCTTCACCACATTTGCTTATTCACCCGCTTTGTCTTCAGCGGTTGCTTGGCGAAGTCTTTCGATGCACTCAGTTATTGTCCGTATATCCCACTTGTCAGTTTGTGCTTCCTCTGTGTTTGTGCCCCTTCTAAAGTTGGTTCAGTTTTAACTTTTGTTTTCCCTGCTTTCTTTTTTTATTGAGGTTTTGCTGTGTGTTGTCTAGTCATTGTTGCTTTTTTGTTTATTTGCTTGCTTCCAGTTTGTTCTTTGTATGATTTTCTGTACGTGCAGTCAGGGATAAGTAAATCTATAGAGAACGTGACTGGACTGATACTTGCGTAGGGGCATGGCAGGGTGGGAGAGGGGGAAATGGGGAGCTAACAGCAGTGAGTACACGGAGATAATGTTCTGAAATCGATTCTGGCGTTGGTTGCACAAATCTTCATGGACACATGAAGTGTATGACAATAAAGTATTAAAAATAAAGAGTTACAGTCTTCGAAACCCACAGGGGCAGCTCCAGTCTGTCACATAGGCTTGCTATGAGTTGGAATCAACTCACTGACAAGAGAGAGAGCTGTGCATAGCTGAGGGGCCACAGGTCTAGGTTTTGAGCCCACGTCTGTGGTAGCCTGTCCGAGAGAGGGGAGTGACTATCCTTGACCCTCTGCCCTTCGGACCTCATCCTTCGTTCCACAATGCCTTCATTGTGACGCAGATACTTTTAACTCATTGAAATAAAGTTTGTTCACATTTAAGTGAATTCATAAATTCTCCATACTCAACATTTTAGTATTGGGCATTTTGAATTCAAAGTTAATTTGTCTCCTAAACTGACACGTAGCTTGAAAAAATAAATAGCCCACAATGTGAAATTTACTTGCAAATATGTAATTAATGGTGAGGCACTGTGTATGCAAATATTACTAAATTGCCTGATTCCTCCCTAAAATAAAAGGGTCAGATTAAAGATGTATAAAGATGCCTGGTGGGAATTTTAATGTACTTTTATGCAGAAGCAAGAGAAAGGACAAAAATCTTTGGGGAGGTAGTTCCCTTGGGTGCAGAGTCCCTGGAAGGCACAAATGGTTAACTTGTGATTGCCCGCCTATGATAAGGTTAGAGCCTGCCCAGGGGTACTTCAGAATAAAGACCCAGTGATCTGCATCCCAAACCTCAGCCATTGGAAACCTGAGGGCGTGTTGTACTACACTGGCACAAATGGGGCCACGTTGGGAGTCAGGTGGGTGACTGTTCTTGCCACCTAGGGTGGCAAGAGACACTACGGGGAGCCCTGGGGAGAAACAGAAAGCCTGGATCCAGGCAGACCTCCACTACTTGCCTGCCCTGTGTCCACAGGCAAGACAGTCAACCCCTCATAGCCTCAGGTTCCTTATTTGTAGACTCAGGATAAAAATTACTTAATGAAAATGGCTGACACTTAGCAGGTGCTCAGCACCCACCTGGTACCTTCTGCTCCTTCCCTTCCTTCCGCCTTTAGCAAATCCTTCATCCTTTCTTCCTGTAGCAGTTTTGCATATTTCCACTTGGTGGCACTCCTATAGGCCAAGTGGGACAGCAGGAAGTCACAACCTGGGCTGTACCAGGCAGGGAGACCCCGGTGTGCCTTTCACTGAAAGGAACCCGTTGAGTATAAGGATGCATCTAGGCAAAAAGAGCTATGTTTCTTCCCAAGTGCATAGGCTCTCTTGTATGTGATTTGCAATCTCTCTGGAGTCACAATAACCACGTGCAGTAAACATTAGCCCTACTTACAGATGAGGGTATTGAGACACAAGCAAACATACAGCCAAAGATGGTGGTGCATCTGGACTTAGAACTAAGGTCTGTCTGATGGCCAAAGCTAACGTTCTCTTTACTATAGCAGTACTTAGAGTAAAGGTAGGCTGATAACTGAGCCTAACACTGGAATCATCACTGGAGCTACACTGATGAGCAAGACAGGCAAACTCTGCCCTGCGCCTATGAAGTTGACGATCTAGTGACACATTACTAGAAGCACCTGATCTGTCAGAACATGAATTAATCTGAGGGAGGAGCGAATGATCTGTCAGCACTTGAACTTAATCTGGAGGTGGAGGGAAGATTTCCCAGAGGAGTGACATTTAAGTTATGACCTGAAGATTGAGTAGAAGTTAACTAGGTAAAGAAGGTAGGATTGGGTGAGGGAAGAGCCTTCTCTTTGGAAGGGATGGCTTTGCCAAGGCTCTAGGGTAAGACGAGATGCAAGAATGGGGGTGGTTCAAGGTCAAAGGACGAGAAGGGTAACACAAGGTGAATGAGGTAGGGCAGGTAGGCAGGGCCAGAGCAAGGAGGATGTCATGATGGTGCATGTGCTATGGTTAGATACTGCATTTTAAAAGACCAGTCTAGCTTTAGGGGAAAAAAATCCAAGGGGGGAAACAGGGAGATCAGTTAGAGTATGAGCGGAGCTTCCAAAGGCTTGTGGAAATTTTCCATGACTTTTTAAAAGCCTTTCTGAAGCCCTCTGGTAGTTTCGTGTCAGTGGGTTGAGGAAAATGCATTGTAGTTTGTAATTAAGTCATGGGCTCTTGTCACCTGTTGCTCAGTCGGCTCTGACCCCTGTCCACCCCATGTATTAGAGGCTAGAACTGAGCCCGTAGACTGTTCTTGTTTGAGGTCTTTGTGGAAGTCGATTGCCAGGCGTCCTCGGATCTGACTGAATTGCCAGTCTTGTAGTTAGCAGGTAAGTATTCCATGCTTATGAAGCCTGGGGACCATTATGTACAGACAATTTCATTTACATTGATTGATGTACCTATTCTGATCAATGTAAAGAAAAAGAAGTAGAAATATCTAATAGCACAGGATCCTGCAAGTAGCATAGATACTCAGTCAATATTTATTGAGTGAATGCTAAGAAAAATTGTGATGACTATGGCATATCCATTTTAATCATTGTTTAGGCTACTTCTAAAATGTATTCATCTGTATAATACTACATATAATTTAGTCATGTCTCAAGTGATTCCTGATACATAAAGTATAGACGTTCATTAGTTGTTCTATTGACTAAATACACTTTGGTTTGAAAATTATGCTACT